TGGCGGGCGTCTGTCTCCATAGCAACCGGAGGGCGAGCGGTCCGTGGCCTCCTTCCAGAATAGCATTGTGATGTCATGGCGTGATCTCATTGCCATGAGGACCGGGGAGACCACCTGGCCCCAGACTTGCCACCAGAACCCACCTGCCTCCCGCTAGAGCCGCAGCCGGGCTGGTCAGCCGCTGGCCCATGGGGCAGATCCGGCCCACGGAGCCTTGGCCTCCACCCAGGGGGGTTGGGCAGGCGGGGAAATTTGGCAGCAGGAGAGCAATTGTACCTCAATCAGCGCCAAAATTTCTGACCCTGGAGAATCCCGTGTGCCTGACAACGGGGCCTGTGCACTAGGTGGTGGAGCAGAGCCTAGCGGGTGGGCCAACCTGGTGCCACTCATCTGGTCCCCAGGTCCAAGAGCACTGAGGTAGATAAGTGCCTGCCCTAACTGCTCCAGTCTGACCTGGCCCTGGGGCATTCGAGCAGTGAGAGAAGCGTATTTCCACATGTTTTGCTAAAACGATCTTAGTGAAATGGTGGTTATTGTTGGGCTTCCAACAGTCACAGTTAGGTTGCAGAGTCAAGAGCCCATAAGCAGCATGTCCCAGAGCTACTACTTCGGCTCCCCTGCCCAAAGACTCAGGAAGAGAGTACTACCTCAGTTGTGTTGTTTTACAGCCAATAAGTATTAGATACATGTGGGGTGCAGTATTGACAATACTCCAAATTCCAGGTAGCCCAACACAATCAATGAGTTTATTAATAAAATGGAAAAGCAGGCTTACACAAGAAGTCATATTACCTCTTTGGAGAGCAGTCACACATGTTATCTCACATCAGAGGTTTGCTACAAAAAGAAATACTCAAAGGTTCCTATTTATATCCAACCTGGTTTCAACAAACAGATTAAGGGAAGTTTGGGGCCTTTCCCAAATTGGTTTAAGTAGTTTGGACCAACTCCGTATTTTGGTTTTGACTTGAGTATCCCAAGCTCAGCAAGTAAATAGTTTATAAAGCCTTCTTTTTAATATCAGTAGTTATCTAAGCATTCTTGACTTCATATTTATACACTTAGTTTAAATACAGACAGTGCTGAAGTAAACCTACTAGCCAGACTTGGGGATAATCTTAAACTGCCAGTGCACTGGGACATGTTCCAACCACTAATAGCTTGGCTCTCCTCAAGTTGCCCAATATGGTCTGTCCTTCCAAAACCTTTTGACTTTTCCTTATTTACTCAATGGCACAAGAATGGTCAGCACAAGCATCAATCAATCACCACATCTGATCCTACAGTCAGTCAACCAGGGTTTAACTGGCTATGCTGTTTTTGGGTACTTCTTAGCCATTTTCCAACTGGACAGGGCCGCCATGCCTCAAACCTGTACCAATGAGGCCTTTGCAATGACAACAAATGCCCTTGTGGACAAGTTCAAACCAATGTCCCACATTATTGACTTGTGTCCATTTACAATGCTCTCATGGCCTTGTCACTCTTCACATGGTGATGACATTGCCTTAAGATGGCTGAAACAATATGCCAAAAACACATATGCTAAATAAATAGTTGGAGAAAATAAGTCATTGACTAGTATTTTTTTCAGATGACTTGGTTTGCAAGCCAAAATGGCTAGACATTTTTTTTAAAGAATTTTATTTAAAGCATACTAACATTTAGGAGGGCGTAGCTGTTCTCTGTTAGATAAATTAGTGCCCAACAAATCCCCTGCCAAGAGCAGGTAGACCTCTGAATCCTGCTAAGGTCTGGAAGAGTGGCCCAAAGTTAAAAAGGAACAGGGTTGGCTATAATTATTGTCTAATATACTAGCTCTTATGGCTGCAGCTATTCTCCCCAGGCCTATATTTGTGTTAGTTCCTTACATGGACCTCCTCAGTATCTGACAAGCAATCTCAAAGAAAATCCCAATGAGCTGCATGAAATGGGGTAGCCAAACACCAAGTGAAGAGCATTGTTCTAGCGGAGTCAGTGCTGTATCAGTGTTAAGCATGGCTGGGGGATTCTGTGCTGTTGGAAGTTGGTGGTGTCAATTCTCAATGTTAGAACATTAGGGTCTCTTATGAAAGAATTCAAGAAGGAAAATGGAAGAAAGTGGGAAGGCGAAACAATGCATTTGCATCATTATAAATAAAGTCCAATTTGATTATATTGTCAATTTTCTTACTTCAGTCAAAATACAGCTTTTCAAGCAATAAGCATCTTTTCTGCCTTTGCCTAGTTGGAATCTGAAAAGTGACTCATGTCAGTATCTTCATTTTACTTACTGTGCCCTAGAGCCAATTATTTCTTGGCAACTAAGAATACGATATTTCAGGGATTACTTACAAGTAATTTACAGTGATACATTTTCTGCAGGGTGAAAGAAAATTATTCTGAAGTGCTGTTTCAGACCTGAAAAAGCGAAGTATATTTTATAGTATACCTGTCTATCTAGTTTTTTCCCCTTGATTTCACTGATTTTGATAAAGCAATTCTAGTACTGGATAAGCAGTCAGCCTGCTAATAGGTGTTTTAGCAGACCACCTTTTTTTCATTAGATAATATAAAATCCTAGAAAACTGATGAGAGTATATTACTGCATTATATGAATTAGTTCTTATATGTAATCATGACTGTACAAATGACAACATGATTCACGCTCAAATCTTGAATAAAATTAGTTAATTGTTATTCATAGGGAATGCTTTAACTCAACTTGACATAATTTGTTATTGCAATTAAAGAGGCAAAAACATGTATTTGGATCAGCTGCTTTATTTAAATGCAGGAATCTTCTTGTGGTAGGACTAAAGGCCCTTCTCAAGCCTTGTGGTGGGGGAGCTGGGCCACTGAAAATGGCCAGGGCCAGACTTCTGCTGTTCTAAAGATTCATGGTTGTTAGAACAACCCCTAAACAGAATTGTAGCTTGACAGAATTTACAGCAGGCTTGCTACTCTAAATTGGGCCAGGGCTAATTTTTTTTCAGCTGAACAAGGGGGTATAAAGATGATGCAAAGTATATGATAAGGAAGAAAAACTGCTGAACTGGTTTACAAAAGAGTGTCATGCCTCACACATTTGGTTATTCCTGCCAGAAATCTCCTGGAACAAAAACATGGCTTTCTTTTTTGTTGAGTGCAAAATATTTCTCTTCACCTAAGCTTGCTATACACTATGCATCATGAACGCTGTGTACCCCCAGAGGCTGGGGGGGGGGCACTTTTTGCAGGGGCTGCACCACCAATATCAGGGGGTGCGTGTGCACCCCCTACACATCACCAATGCTATAAATTCTTGGGCACTTAGTTATCTGGCCAGTCTTGATGCAGATAATCATTTTGACTAAGTAAACTGGTAGCAGAAGACCAGGATGTTTTGCCACACCACAGAGGAAATATTAATGATCCCATTTAGACAATATAAAATGTACCTGGATAACACCATTATGGAAATCATTTACCTGAATAAAATATAATTATTTATGATACCTTTCAAGTCCCTGAGCTAAGTGTACAGTTTCTTTCAAGGAGTTTGTATTTTAAGAAGGAAATCCCTGAAATCCCTCAACATGATACTTTCCCATAGCCAGGATACACCAGCCTTGCCTACCAGCAGATTGCAATGCTTGAAATACACTTGTAAACCAAATCCCAGAAGCATTCTAAAGCTGATTTGGGAAAATCTGGTGTTGCTGCAGTTACAAAAAATGTGCAGCCTCTGTGTGTGCAAATAAAGTTTTACTTTTATTCCTTAATTAAAGAAGCATGGAGCTGATAGGTACCTGATAGGGGCCTTAGTGTCTCTTGAAATCACTTAGATTAAGTTCTGTTGGATAATATATACATGAAACCATTGATTTAGAGAGGGTTTCTCCAAAAGGAGTAGCACAAAAATCCAATAGCTAAATGCAAATGTATACAGATAAGAAAGACTTGAACTTTCACAACTTTTGATTCCTATCCTTTACAAAAAGTTGCTGAAAGATACTAAGGGAATAAACAGAGTTATCACCTGCCTTTCATTAGATACTTGCATTTGGAAAGTATTAAAATATCAGTTTATGTTTGTTTAGGTACCTAATTATGAAACTCAATGTGAACATTGTATTCTAAAGTGACAAAGCTCATAAAAAATAACAGCTACACTATTTATACTGATAAACCTGACACAGGGTTCATGGGAAAATATAGTCTTAAAGATAAGAATAACTGATGGTTGGGTAGGGATTTGAATGTACCAGTGATTCCTTCAGATAGTCCCGAGGCAATGTCCTCACCTCTGTTAGCACAAAAACAATAATTATCTTTACAAATATCTTTCCAGAAAATAAAATTGTCTAAAAAATTGTAACAGATAATCAAGTAAAACCAATCTCCAAAGAAAAGGAGAACTCCTTCATGATGAGTGGTAAAATTACCTTCTCTTTACCTTCCAAATGCAAATGGGTAAGCAAATAGATAAACAGAAACATGAACAGACTACAAAAGCTTGAAGTGTATCCAAACTTTGGAAAGAGACTGTATAAAAATGATTGCCTAGAGAATGATACTGAGTTTAACAGCTAGTATAATACCAGCCCCAATG